ATGGTGACGTGAGCTGAAGATTTTTAGTAAGACGGACGACTGCCACTTTGGGGGAAATGGAAGAACAATGCCAAGGACTCGGAGAGGAAACAAGGCCTGGTACTCAGCCTCTCTTGCCTGAACACAGTGCACACAGCACGAGCTCGCAGCCCCCACTGGCAGCTGAGATGGACAAACGGACTGCTGCTCAGGAGTCCCTCTTCTTCTGGACCTGTCACTGTCAAAGGATGTGCTGTTTCATGGGGGCCGTGCCGTAGCAGCCCACCTCAGCCTACAGACAGTGACCAGCTAATTGAGATGAGCAGCAGCTAGCCATCACAGGAGGTCTGGCAGGCTCCTAATGCCAGGCTTATTAGCCGTTCATTTAGGGAGTGTTGTTTATCTAGAAACAATAAGCCTATATTTCTTTTTCCCAAATTACTAATTCCCCACATGTAACTAATTCTGACTGGCCTGTCTCTTAGTAGCCAGACTAAAAGTGCAGCCTGGATCTGAAGAGCCAGAAAGACAAATATGAGCACTCAGTAAGTAATTGGGTGCCTTAACTTTTCTATCTCCAGTCGCCCAGTCCTCCATCTGGGCAGACCTCATGTACTTCTCTGAAGTCACTGGGAGCCATGCCATCTCCCCAGTCCTGGGTTCTGGGGATTTTTCTTTCTTTTGTTTATTGGTTTTGTTTTGGTTTTTGAGATAGTCCTCTGTAGCCCAAACTCTAAAGTCACTAGGTAGCTGAGGCTGGCCTTGAACTCCACATCCTCCTGCTTCTGCTTCCCAAGTGCTGGGATTATATGTGTGCGCTACTATACCTGACTAGCTAGCCTGTGTGCTTGGAGGGTCCTGGGGATTAAACCCAGAACTCGCCTGTGCTAGGTAAGATGTACCACTGAGTCCTTGTGTTTGGGGTTTGAGAGAGTGACTTTCATCTGCCTGGAGTTTTGGAGCAGATGCTGGGCTTACTCAATATTTTGGTGCACCTTGTGGCTTACTCCGGCTGCACCGGCAACTGTTGATCCAACACGATGAAAGGAAGAAGGCAGAGCTCCAGTGAGCAAAGCCAACAAGCAGCCCCACCACACCTTGCTCAGGGCCTTTCTGCCAAGACAGGTCCTGATTCAGAGATGGGAGGGGGCCATGTTTGCCACAGGAGGAGCCACAAGGCAACTGCGGGCTGGTCCATTCACTTGTTCATGCATTATCTGAAATCCACTATGTGGTGCCCCTGAGTCCAAAGGACTCGGACAGGAGAACAGTCCTCAAAACAACCACAACAACATCATACATGTAGCTCTTACTGAGTTCAGCCCAGGGGCTCTGTGTGTACATTCTATTTAAGCATCACAGCCACTCTGGGAGATGGAAATCTTTGCAACCCTTAATTTAAAATAAAGGTGCTCAGTTAGTAAGCATGTGTGGTAGTTTGAATGTAATTGGCCCCATAATCTCATAGGGAGTAGCACTATTAGGAGGTGTGGCTTTGTTGGGGTGGATATGGCCTTGTTGGAGGAAGTGTGTCATTGTTGGGGGGCGGAGGGGGCTTTGAGGTTGCCTATGCTCAGGATACCGTCCAGTGTCACAGTCAACTTCCTGTTGCTGGCAAGATGTAGGACTCTCAGCTACTACCCCAGCAACACATCTGCCTGCACGCTGCCATGCTCCCTACCGTGATGATAATGGACTGAACCTCTGAAACTATAAGCAAGCCAACCCAATTAAATGTTTTCCTTTATAAGAGTTACCGTTGTCATGGTGTCTCTTCACGGCAATAGAAACTCTAAGACAGGGTGAGTTGGATGTCGATTGAGGTTCTGGCTTCTGGGCCTAAACTCCCCTGCCCACATCGTGCATCCTATAAATTCTGTTTTAATAGGTGAACCACAAATACAAACTGCACCTTCCCTTTAACTAGCAATTCTGAGTCTAAGATTTTACCGTGGAGACACACAGCAAACACACGAGGATCTGCATTTAATTAGAAGGGAGGGAGGGGTGGGGGAAGGGAGAGGAGGGGAGGGAAGGATAAGGAGAAGAAGGAATTTGAATGTAGGGATTATGGAGAGATCTCCAACATATATGATTAAATGTATAAAACAAAATGCAAGAGGATTCTGTACTACATAGTTTTGTCTCTGCTAGTAAAAAAATTGGATCAGATCCATGTGCTGAGAGATAAATAAAATGTTAAGGTGACATGTTTACACAAAGCTGAATGAGAGAGCTGAGGTTGGCAAGGAGGAGGCGTAGTTTTCGTTATATTGTTTTTTTCTGTACAGTTTGAATATTTAATCACATGAATGTATTACCTTCTATTCAAAATTAACATTTTGATTTAAAATTAACTTTTTTTTCTTAAGAGCCAGACAGTGTCTATACCCCAAGGGGCCCACTCACAGTCTAGGAGAATGATATTTAAGATGCATGAAGTTGCTATCCCTTATTCTGGAACTGAGCTGTCATAGGAGACAGTCCTTGCTTTTCAGGACAGCCTCATGATGCCAGGAGCATCTTGGCCATGTCACTTACACATGTATCAAATACTTATCCAAAACTCACCAGGCCTCTCCTGGCCAGTACCCAATGCTCAGTGGTAGCCTGTCCTGCCTGTCTGAAATACCCCATTCACCAACATCAGCTCCTTTCCACATGGCTATGAACAGCCAGAAGGAAGGTATACGACCTTGTCTGAGTCCTTCCTGCCTCCAGCTCCAGAAAACTGAATCTTCAAGGGCACATTATTCCAACAGGCTTAGTGGCCTAACTTCCCAGGCTGCCACCAATGTATTGTAAACAGCAGAGTCAAAAGCGGGAAAGGAGACTTTGGATCTGCTCACACTGCCATTAGGAAGAGTGACAGGTGGGTGGCAAGGACCGTGGTGTGTTGATTATTTTCCTTATTGCTGTAACAAACTACCTGGCCAGAGCAGCCAGAAGGCTCATGGTTTGAGAGTACTGTCTCTCACAGCGGGGAGCCACGGCTGCAGGAGCACTGAAGCAGCTGGTCACATCGCTTCCACAGTCAGGAAGCAGAGAGAGATGAATGCTGATGCTCAGCTCACCTCTGCTTTTATTCAGTCCAGGGCCCCAGCCCGCTGAATGGTGCTCCCCACACCTAAGGTGGGTCATCGCACCCCGGTTAATCCCATCTAGAACACTGCTCACAGACATGCCCAGAGGTTTGTCTGCTACGTGATGCTAGGGCCAGTCGAGTGGCAATCAGTATTCACCGTCACAGGTGGGGACAGGAAAATGACAGGAACAGATACAGAGCCCAAACCTCAGGGGTCAGGGTGATTCGTGGTGACACCAGTGACTGCCTACAGTCTCCCAAGGCTTTGCTGCTGTACCAGGCGGCGGGGGCATGCCTAGTCACAGGACAAGCCTGGGTGAGGTCGTCAGAAGCAGGGGGTGCCTTGCCTTCCAGCCTGGCTGTGTATCTCTTACCAAGACTTGTTTAGACAAAGAAGTGTCTGGTAAGCCCCCCGCCCCTAGTTGTCATTAACAGATGGTGAAGGCTCTTTGTGCAGAGGGTGGGACCAGGACAAACCTCTGTGAGGTTTGCTGAAGGGTGCCAACCACACCCCTTCTCCTGTATGTTCCTGTCCAGACCAGGCCATCTCCGAGCTACTGGAGAACAAAACTATACCTTTGCCTCTTTTTTTGTTTGTTTTGTTTGAGACAGAAGCTGGCCTCACTCACTATGTTGTTGAGGGTAACCTTGAACTCCTGATTCTCCTGTGCTGGGATGACAGATGTGGGTCACCATGCTTGACCTCTTTTTGTCGTTTGATGTCTCAGAATCCCACAGTTGCTAGCCTAGACTGAAGTGTGAAGGTTGCTGAGTGTCCTCTACCCAGGCTGCCAACATGGCTGTCACCTATTTCTCCAATCACTCTGGCCACTCCTGGTAGCCACTGCTACTGCAGAGCACACTCCCCTGACCTAATGTGCAGGACAGCCTGCCCCCCTGGGAGAGGGCATCCATATCTGGTACCTCATTGTTAAGTGGGGGGGAAATGAAGGCACAGGAAGCACAGAGTTCTCCTGAAGATGTTGTCTAGATTTGAGACTATTTGAGACCATCCCATCTTTATAAGGTAGGTGGTATGGCATGGTGGTTAGGGACAAAGGCCTAGGACTGTGGTCTCCATTCAGCTCCTGGCTCCGAGTCTGCTAGGCGTGTGGTCCTGAACAAGCTGCCTTGCCACATCCCAGTCTCAAATTCATGAAGTGAAGAACCTCTGCCTCGCGGCATTGCTGCGTGGATTAAATGAACAATGTGCACACAGCACTGTGCCCAATTCAGCACGTCCACTCATAATACCTCTGTTGTCACCTGTGGCACCCTGGCTCTACAGCTACCCTCAGTCTGTCCAAGTTGGTCTCATAAGTACTGTTCTGTTTGCATCAGGTCACTGCTGGAAACCTTCCTTCGGTCCTCGCCACTTAAATGGCAAAGTGAACACTTCGTTGAAAGAACTTTCTAGAGATTCCACCTACTGGGGCCCAAACCCCAGCTCTGCCACTTACTAGACTTTGGAAAGGTAACTGCCTCTTGTCCTTACTGCCAGTGAGTTGGGGGAGAGGGCGGCTACAGCTCCTCTTTGCTGGGACAGTTAGGAGGCTTTTCTGAAACAGAGTTGTGGTCACATGTGGACAGCGTCTGGCCTGGAGCCTCTCTCTTGGCCCACTCTCCACAGGACCAGCCCTTCCTGACACAAATCTCCTTCATGCTGTTCTCCTACCAGGTTGGAACCTGTGTGCATTAGGTGATGGTAGGACTGGAGGCCAGTGAGTGGAGAGGGTTTGCCCTCTCCCAGTGGGCACAGCCTTGGGAGCCACTCAGCCCTGTCCTACAGCGGTCCAGCACTGTGGCTGCAGAGCCTGTGCTGAGCATGCTCTGTGGCTGGAGAGCCTGTGCTGAGCATGCTCTGTGGCTGGAGAGCCTGTGCTGAGCATGCTCTGTGGCTGGAGAGCCTGTGCTGTGCATGCTCTGTGGCTGGAGAGCCTGTGCTGAGCATATACTGGGCTGAAGAGCAGTGGGACATTGGTGACATTGGGGAGCTCCCACTGTCTATCAGACACTCCTACTTGAGTGCATTGTCCCATTCAGTCACCCCACAGCCCTATGGAAGAGTGTAACCGGTGCTGTTATTGGGGTGCTGAGCCTAGAAGTTATGAGGATGAGCTCCAGCCATTGACAACCTTGGGCATGCATCGGTTCCCTCATCTACAAACTCAGACTGGTAAAAAGGATCGAAGACTTCACACGCACCAAGCCTGTGCAAATGTCCGTAAGTATCAGTTGGGCTGTTCTTACACCTAGCCCGTGCATGAATGAAGGTGCCAAGTGACGCTGAGACAGGTTTAGTGATCTGCCTAAGTGGGATGGGGGAGGTGGGAGGGGGCCTGCTGATCCTTTTAAGCTAAGGAGTGAGGTCAGAGCTGGCAGGTCATGTGCAAAGCCCACTAAGGCAGAGCCAGTCTGGGCCTGAGAGTGAGAAAGCCCACCACTTCCCTACTGTACCTCAGGTATGTTCTCTCCCCTCTTGGAACACCCTGCCTTGGAACCTAGACCCTGGTCTGCTTACCTAAGAGATCAAACAGTGCTACAGAAATATCTAAGGACTCAAGAAAAAGCCAGTAGGTAAATGTCCACACCACTGATATACGTTGATCGCTTGCAAGGGACTCCGGTCCACCCTGAACCACCACCACAACCTTTCCTTGTCACATCCTGAGGTCTAGATGTCAATGTCACAGAGGCCTGTCTGGGGGGCACATCTGGGCAATGCTGATATCTGGCAAAACTCTCACCCTCAACTCTTTCCCCAATCCAATTAGTAAGGCCAATATTGCTAGCCTATGGCTAAGAGCAAGAGGAGGGCTGGGCAGGTGTGATGCTTGCCAAAGAAAACCAAGCCTGCCCTGCTGGGGCACCTCCTAGGGGGCATAGCAAATGAATGTGCTGCAGAGAACACCCATTCAGTCCCACTGCGGGCTGCAGGGTACTGGCCCTCCCCTCCCAGAGAAGCAGTATGAGGTTTAACTGTCACAGTGCTCCTGCCTGTTCTCAGAGCCCCGGTATTGCTCAGACTCCTGCTTGCAAGTCCCTGCCAGCTCGGATCTTGAGTTCTGCTGTGAAATGTAGCTAATCACCCCTGCCCCACCCTGCTTCCCTCACAGGTCACCAGGAGGCACAAGTGGGATCCCAGAAGGGGCGGCACTTGGGATGTAGAAGTAAGAAGATTAGGAGTTCAAATCCAACCTTAGCTTCATAGCCTGGGATATATAGACCCGGTCTCAGAGAGAGAGAGAGAGAGAGAGAGAGAGAGAGAGAGAGAGAGAGAGAGAGAGAGAGAGAGAGAAAAGAATCCTGGGTTTGATCCTACAGGACTTCCTACTTTAGGAGATCTTTTGAGCCCAGAAATTCAAGACCAGTCTAGACAACATGGTGATAAACCATTTAAAAAACAAAGCCCACTAAAAAGTCTCAAAAGGCCTTAGCAATGCCGGAGATGATGAAGTGCCTGTTCTGTGAGTAGTGAAGACGCAGCAAGGGTAAAGTCCTGTGCAGAGCGCCAGCACAGCCAGGCCTGGTCTCGGGAGCCACCCGCCCCTCACTGCTCCCTGTGACCTCCCTTCGCTTTCTCCAGCTCTCTCCCACTCCCACTTCTTCCCCCAATCACACAGCATCCATTCCTCCAGCTTCGGAAACTGACAGTTTTTCACTCGTCTGGGGCCTGGGGTCCCAGATGAAATGAGCCAGAAGCGTTTTATTTGTTTTGTTTTGTTTTCTTGGTAGGAACCCCAAGAATATTGGTATCTTCTTGGGCTCTGTAGGCACAGGCAAGTAAGAAGGGTCTCTGGAGCCTTCTGGGAGCTACTGGGCAGAGAGAGATGGGGTAACACACAGAGAAACCTGATAGAAGAGGATCTGCCTCTGTACTACCAACAAATGATAGCGCTCCGCTAAGGGTCACTTATTTATTTAGTGTTGGTGTGTTTCTGAGGGCATGTAGACATGATCCTGTGTGTGTGTACATGGGTGTGCTTGTTTGTGTGTAAGCCAGAGGCCAACCTCTGGTATTGTTCCTCAGAAGCACCTGCCCACCTTTTTTTCCTAATTGCTTAATTGTGAAAGGTTCATGCATGCTTTTATGCTCCACAGCGCATGTGTGGAGGTCAGAGGACAATTTGCCGGAGTTGGGTGTTTTTTTTTCCATCATGTAGGGATCAGGGATTGAACTCAGGTCGTCCGGCTCGGTGACAAGCACCTTTTCTGGCTGAGCCATCTCACTGTCTCACTGGCCTCACCTTTTATTTTATTTTATTTTTCCTTTTGAAACAAAAATCCCTCAGTGGGGCCTGAGACTTGCGTGGCAGTGAGCATCAGAGGTGGGTTTGTCTCTTCCTCCCTGACTCTGGGATTACAAGCACACGTCACCACTCCTGGCTTTTCATGTGTGTTGGGGATAGAGTCAGACCTTCATGCGTGCATGGCAAACACTTTCTGAGCAGGCCACCTCCTTAGCCCTCTAAGCCTCATTTTATATACCTGCAAAGGTAAGTCTGCAATTTGCCTTCTGGGATTTCCAGAGTTAGAACTAGAGGAAGGAGAAGTGGGGGTGGGGCAGAGCGTGGGAGGGAAGAGGGCTCCCCAGTGTGGTATCAGCGTGAGATTGGTTTTGCTTTGGTAGGGGTTAGGCATTTGAGACACAGCCTTGCTATGTAGTCCAGGCTGGCCTGGAACTCATTATGTAGTCCAGGACGACCTCAAACTCAAGATTCCACTTCCTCAGTCTCCCAAAGGCTGGGGTTATAGGTGTGTGCCACTGGGCACAGTATCACCTTGAGTTTGAAAGCTCGTCATTTCAGGGCTGGCGGTCCACTACCTGCACACTGTTTGCGTGGCCCCAGGCAAGGTAGCTTCCACTCCCAGCTTCCATAGCTCCAAAGTGGAGAAAACAGTGCCCACTTTGTTCATTTTTGCAAGTCAGAAGGAGCTGCATGGAGTCTCAATTCACGGGCACAAAAGGCATCTCTTTTCCCCTCTGGCCATCAGGCCCCCGGGAACCCAGAAGTTCCCTCCCATCCAAGTCCCTTTCTCTCCAGCCATCCCCACCAAAACGCAGAGAATTAAAACATGCAATCACACAGCTTCTTGACGGGAAATGCTTTGGAAATTTTCGGCTCCATTTACTTCTCAATCTAATTTTGTCCTCGGTTGCACATTATGCGCGAGATGGGATCTCATGTGGTTTGCCCAGCGCTCCACACGCCAGCAGGAGGCAGCCGGCAATGCTCATGTCTCTCCCCAGCACATGAGAGGCATAATGAGGGCACCCAGCAGGCTCTGGTGGCATCCCGGGGCGAGAGGGCCCAGCCTGGACACTTTGGCACAGGCCAACCCACCTCTCCTGCAGTACCCTCCAGCTGGGGACTAGGGGATATCCTCATAGCCAGTTCCAGTCACGACACAGGCTCCCACTGCTGCTCACCCTGAAGAGTACCCCTGCCTGGCTCCAGCCTTCTGAAGAAGGCTCTGCCTGTGGTTCTTCAGTGCCTGAGCTCACACTCAGGCTCCCACTTTTCCCAACCGCAGCCCTGCCCCTCACACTCCCCCTCTTGAGCACACTCAGAGCCCTGCACACATGTTTACATCCTAGCACTTGTGAGGTGGTTGGGACAGCTGTTCCCTAGAAGACGCAAGCCTGACTGCCTCCAACGGTCACGGGGGACCTTGTCACCTGTTCCCTGTGAGTGCCCGCACCACGCTTGGCACAGAGCTGAGAATGAGTGCCCACTAGCTCAGAGAACACCTTCCCAGCCTCACCACTGGACTCTGGGTGAGGTGCTGGGGGTGTTGAGCCCATGTGGATGGGAGGCTTTTATTTTGTGTTTCATTATCTGCCTAGTCTCCCAACTCCAACCGGGGAGCTATCCTGACTTCACTCTCCAATTTAACTGCCCCCAACCCCCGGGTTGGACTAGAGCTGGTTGCCAGCTCTAGCCTCATCACTTCCCTTTTATCCACATGGTTACAGTCTGGTCCAGGTCCTCATCCTTTCTCTCTTGAGGGTGTGCAAGCTATCAGAGCTTCTCGCTGAGCCTCGTCCTTATTGCATACATCTTTGCCAAGACCCCCCAAGAGATTCCTATAGGATGCCACTCGCTACTTAAAGGCCTTGGAGATGTCTTAACATCTGATCCAGTTCCTTGGGAGCCCCTGTGACCCGTCCCTCCCCCATCTCCACCTGCTTCTCTCTTTGCTGGGTACATTCCCTCACCATTATCACACTATTCCCTCTGCTTAGAAGCTTCCTCAGCTCTGTCCCAGCCTGGCTAGTTCCTCCCCTCCCAAGGCTCCTGCGTAGCTTTCTGTAGGAGGCCTCCCCGGCCGCTTTCCACACAACCTCAGGAAGGCAGAGGTGGCCTCCTTGGCTCCTGTGAGTACATACATGCCTCTCTCACTGCAGCTCCAACCTTTGAAGGCATTTACTTCTGCTGTCCCTGGAGCTTGTTGGGAACGGTATGGACATGACCCCACATGACCCCTCTAACAGTCTATGGGGACAATGCTCTTCTTGTTTCTAGGTGTGGAAACTGTGGGTCAGAAAATTTAAAATCCTCCCAGGATCTTAAGGTAGGGGTCAAGGATTCTTCCTAGGACTGGCAGTGAGGCAGGCACCCCAAATTCTTGATGGAGGTGCTCCGTGGTTCCACCCTGGGCGATTTCCCTTGGTATTCACTTGTGTGTGGACCACCATGCCCAACACTTCACTTTGCTTTGCCCCAGTTTCCCCTTCTGTAAATCGAAAGTTAACTCTTTCCTTGTTACCCTCCCTCGGGGGGGGGGGGGGGGGGGAGCTCCAGCAGGTAGCAGATGTTGAGTCACTCGGAAGTGGTGACAGGCAGCCTCCAGGTGACAGAAGGTGAGTAGGGCTTTAGGAACTGTCCCAGGGAGGAATTTCCTGCTCATCTTAGAACCCGAGGCTTTTAACTGAGACCACAGGTGAGGGAGGGGTTCCCATTTCCTCCCTAGACCAGAGCGTCTCTGGATATTTAAAATCACCTCACTGTGTCCATTCCCCCCCCCAACACTATTGTGACAGTCAAGCAAGGAAGGGGCGAGTGGGGGTAAAAATCCATAAAGGCCCTGCAAAGTGGAGGCCGGTGGAATTCGCCAGCTCCTGACCACCAGTTAGTGACGTCAGGATTTATAACTGTATTAAATGGTGTGACAGGCAGTCTTGATATATCAGTTCTCCTTCTCCCCAAATCACAGACAATAAAAGCTTTGGCAGTGAAAGTCATTCATCATCATAAAGACCCGAGACATCCTGGTCATCAATTTCACTCACATCCTTAATACCCTGGAGAGGGTGCCGAGTTGAGCACCTCAAAGCAGGGAGGGAAAAACACGAGGGGAGATTGAACAGGAATAATTACAAAGGTCAAGGAAGGGATGCACCTGAGAGGGTGCCCTGGCCGGCCGCAGTCACTTCCTGCTGCAGGTGAGCTCCAGTCACAGAGAGGCTGGCCACCCCAGGAATACAGGACGGGAGCAGCTGAAACGGGGCCCCGAGACCTGAACTGGGAGTTCTGGGGAATGGGGAAGCACGCAAGGAACCCAGAGCCTCAGGGCCGATTCCTCCATCCTGAGGAGATTTTGGACTAATGATCTGACCAGAATGTTTTCATTACCCGGCCCCACACTGGCTATCCACGTCAATGCTGCTCCTCTCAGCAACACCAGGGCTGGCATCCCCGATAGTGAAGGATACTAAAATATTCCTAGTCCATCTAGCTGGTGGCATCACCACACCCTTAGCTTCTTCCTCTCTTGGCCCCATGCTCCCACCTCACCCCCACATCCAACTGCTTTGATCGTGCACAGAGATGGGAAAAGGAGACACATTTGAAGGCTAGGGTTAGTGAGGCTGGCCGGCCATCCCAACCCACCGCCCATCCTCCCGTTATCCCTGTCAGGTGCCCGGCTGGGGTTTTCTACCCCTCAAGGTCTGCTCTTGCACTTGCCTCTCAGCCAGGCAGGGCAATACAGGATAAGGGAGCAGGAAGCCTTCTCAATGTGAAGGTGAAGAACTGAGACCAGACCAGACTGTCTGAAGAGAACCAGACCTGAAGTCATGAGCGCCCCCTCCCGGGCTTGGCCAGGAAGTTGACTGAGGAGCATAGTGATAATTATTTCTCTATTGCTTCCCCACCCCCTCAAAACAAAAGAACGAAGGAAAGTTTGGGTCTAGGTAGGAGCTGCTGGGTTGGCGTGGGCTCACCATACTGGATGACAGCCTATGGGGTGAGAAAGCCTTACAGGGGCTAAGTCAAGCATCCCGGGATTGCTGGACATCTCAGGCAGCCTGCTCCAGGTAAGAATACACTAGAACAGAGAGGGCCCCGATTTCTGTTATGGCTTGAGTCTGAAATGTCCTCCCACAGGCTCGTGGTTTGAATGCTTGGGTCCAGCTTGTGGCTGTAGGAGGCAGGACATGGCTGGTGGAAGTGGCTCCATAGGAGTTAATCTCGGGAGGGTCCACGCACTCCTGGTTCGTCTGCGTCCTCTGCTTCCTGTCTAAACCACAGTGTGAGGAACCTGCCATGCCTGCCTGCCACCAGCCGCCTATTCTGCAGCACCTTCCCCACGGTGACAGATTGAAATCCCCCTGAAACAGTGAGCCAGCGTAAGCCTGCCCTTCCTTTGGTTGTTCTGTTCAGGCATTTTGTCACAAAGACGAGGAAAATAGCAAATACAGTTTCCCAAGATAAAAGGACCATTGGCCGGCTGCCATCAGCTTTGCGCCTGCTCCGTCCCCGGTCTTCCCCACTGAGATCTCCTCTGCCATACTTCCTGTCTGTCACAAGCACAGCAGGCCTGGTGAGAGGCTCCATGGTCAAGCGTGTGGCCTCTGCAGCCTGCTGTCTGCATTTGGATCCTGACTCAACCGTTTTCAAGCCGGAGGCATTCAGCAAGTTTCTATGTACCTCCCCCCTGTGCCTGTTATCACACAGTAAAATGGAGACAGTGAGATTGACTCCCTCCAGAGTCAGTATGCAGACTGGACAAGCTAGTATAAACCCAAAGACCGAGAACACTGCCTGAAACGGAGCAGGTTGGAGGCAAGTGTGTGTTTTCCCTCCTATGGGTGACTTTAGCTTGACTGGCCCCCAACTTGGGTGTGCCTCTGGCTGTTCAAAATTGAGACCATCTCCCAGGGGAGAGGCCTTGCCACAGAGTTCACATAGATTGCCAGCTCCCTCCAGGTGGGCAAGTGACACCATCCTGGACATGGCACTTTAGAGGTATACAAAGAGATTAGTGAGAAAAGAAGACAGCCCATCCGATAAACAGAGGGCACCTCAAGTCTCAGGCTGGCTGCAGCCTCGCCAGGCATTCATAGACATTCCCAGAGTGTAGAAGTCCTACAGCCTCAGATAATGAAAATAAAAGCTAATAGAGATAAATTAGAGAGGCTTTTTTTCCCTGGGCTTGGAACATTGGCAGCAGGGTGGGCAGTGGAGGCAGCAGATAGTAGAAGGCAATGGATTGGGGAAGAAATAATAATTATGATAATATCTCAAAATCAAATGTGCCTTTTTGCTCACAGAAGATATGTATGTGAGTGTGTGAATCATATCAATAACCTTGACAATGACCTAGAAGGGTGGAGTGAGGGGCGATTAGCAACAACCAATCATAATAGCTCATCTATCCATTTGTCTCCCACTTCCTGAGTCCCTACTGTATCGCAAGCCCTGCATCAGACTGAACTGGAGGAGGCAGAGAGGACCGGGAATCTCACAGGAAGTTAAGCAGGGCTTGAAGAATTACGAATCGAGGATCAATGGGATATCAGCATAACGGTGGCCTGGTTCAGGGCCCAGATGAGAGAGCATCACTTCTGACTCGGACAGTTGCGGGGAGGAGAGTGCTTCTTGGAAAAAGTAACACACGGGGACTGCTCCCCGGACACCTTTGCTGAAGGCACATAGAGAGAGTCAGCTGGTTCCTAGGCCTGGGGTGGAAGTGTTTTATAGGCAAAGCCCTGGACCAGCTTCCATGTTTCTTCTAGGAGTCAAGCCTGGAACATCTGGTACAGGCAGGGTGGCAGGCTCTCTGGGTTCATAGGAAAGGGCACAGTGCTTACAGGTTATGGGACATTTGCCTTATCTCCAGGGACACCTCGCTACAGTCCTAGAGTCCTAGAGATGGGCTGGGATTGTGACCCCCCATTTCGAAGATGTGAAAAGTGTTACTCAGAGAAGGGAAAGGCATTCTAAGAGTCCGTAGGAGTTACGGGGTGCGGTAGGGGGACTTAGGGTGTGGATCTGATAGACTCCAAGGCATCCATTCTTCCTTTCACAGTTGGCTACCACCTCTGGGCAAACAACAGAAGCATTCTAGTCCAGAGTCCAGAAGAAGCAAGGACTCCAGTGTGGCCAAATGGAAGAAGGCGAAAACAGGCCTGAATCCAGGCCTCATGTTCTAACCACTGAGATAACCACTGAGGTAATCTGCTATAGCAACAACTAGAAACTAAGACACAGGAGTATCTGGAATAGAAAACCAGTGTCCCTGGTTCCACCGCAGCCATCCCTTGGTGTGAAGACCTCAAAGTCTGACTCTGCCTCCGGCTAACTTCCTGAACTCCAGATTTTTAAAACAAGGCTTAACTAGCCCAGGAGGAGGCACCAAGCCTTTCAATTTCAACTCATTTAACCACGTGATAGTTCATCTTAATTGTCCATTTGGTTGTATTGAGAAATCCCTAGGCGATCAGTAAGGCCTGCCTCAGAGCGCATTTATGACGGTGTTTCCTGAGGGCTCTGGCCTAAAGAATGGATGAACCCATTGACGGACTGATAGATGATGCATTCTTGGGAGGTGGAGGGAGGAGAGGATGGTGCCTAGTTGTAAAAAGGAAGTCCCATGAGGCACGTCCTCGGGTGTGTCTTGGCATCGCCTTCACCCCACATTGCTTTCCTCTGCTTCCTGGTTGCCATGGTGCGAACTGCTCTTCTCGGTCATCCTCCCCGCACAGGGTGGGGGACACCTCCGAAACCGTGGGCGGAAGTGCGTCTTTCCTCCCTTCAACTGTTCTTGCAGGTGTACGGGTCACACGGCAAGGTCCTACCCCCATGTCTAGAGGGAATGGAGGCTCACACACAGACAGCTGAGAAACAGAGGTCACCCCATCCTAAGTCACCGAGCTGCAGGCCAAAGGCAGGCAGACCGCTCTGGAGTCTATACGGGCACCAGGCCCCGTGCTCAGCCTTCACAGCCCCAGTGCCAGCCGGGCTGTGCTTGAGAACCCAGGAGGCTCTGCCCAGAGTCCTGTGATGAGACAGAGCTCAATGCTAGCAAAAGCAGGACAGGGCAGGGGTGGGGAGGCAGGAGAAAACCCCTTCTACTGCCAGCTGAGGGAACCCAGGCACTCTCTTGAACTGTTAGGAGGACAAAAATAGTGTCTACATTTCAACGAGTAAAGGGTGGAGAGACCCAACACACACACACAAGTGCTCGATTGGCTCCAAGGGTCCCCCATTCACTTCTCAGAGAACTTAGTGTTGAGCTCCTGGGGGCTGGAGAGATGGCTGAGTGGTTAAGACCACTGGCTGCTCTTCCGGAGGACACAAATTCAATGCCAGCATCCATATGTTGGCTCACAAAATATTATAATCCCAGTCCCAGAGGACCAGATGTCCTTTTCTGGCCTCTGTGGGCACCAGGGACACATGTGGTACACAGACCTACACATTCACCCATACACTTGAAATAACTGAATTGAAAACCTTTTAAGTTGTTCTCCTTAGGAGCCGATCTAAAGCCGGGCCCGCTGTGGCTTCGCCAAGGCTCCCCGCAACTTCACATCTTCACCCCACAGCACTGAACACAGGGAGGCGGCAGCCAGACCCCAAGCAGCTGTCTCTGCACACGGCCCTGAGCCAGCTGAAGACAAAAGGATTCCCCACCGTCCCCTGGCCTCAAATACTGAGAGCCATTTATGTAGTGCTCCTGAAGATATGGGCCATGACCAATGTCTTGCTGGAGAAAAATCCACAATGGTTTGTCCACATCATTAGAGGGGACAGTTCTTTACTTACTGATGGGTTAGGGTCTCTATAAAAATACGAAGTTAAAAAAATTAAAAGCTAACATTATATAGAGTATAAAGGCAATTATAGATAATCAGCCACGTGCATGTAATGTGGTACATATTGATTATGCACAGATAAGGTTCCAGAAAGACACATACCACACCATCAACTCTGCTAACATCTGCATTCTAGAATGGCTCAGGAATAATGTGCAGGAACATGGTCACAGGCTGCTGTATGTACTTCTGTGCCTCTGGAATTCCCTTTAGAATGAGCTTGGATTACTTTTGGTTAAAAAGGAAACTTTTGTTGATATGAGGTCTCTCTATGATGCTCTGATCATCCTGGAACTTGATATGTAGACCAGGCTGGCCTTAAACTCACGGAGATCTGCCTACATCTCCCTCCTAAGTGCTGGGATTTAAAGGCATTTACCACGATGCCTCGCTTAAAAAATGAACTTTCAGCCAGTGGTGGTGGCACACATCTTTAATCTCAGCACTCAGGAGGTGAGTCCCTGAGTTCAAGGCCAGCCTGATCTATAGAGCAAGTTCCAGGACAGCCAAGGCTACACAGAGAAACCCTGTCTTGGAAAACTAAACAACAATAAAAACAAACACCCTGCACTTTTAAGAGAGGAGCATGGTAAGTAGGGCATGGTGGCATGAAATTCCAGCACTCAGGAGGCAGAGGCAGAAGGATTGCCCACTAATTTAGGACCATCCCATTCTACATAGTAAGTTCCAGACTAGTCAGGGCTACATAACAAGATCCTATTGACAGACAGATAGACGAGGTGATGAAAAATTAACCCTTGAGAGCAGGGAAACATGGCTTCTCTTAGACACCACCTCCCCACAAAACCTTCCCTCAAATTCTTGGACGAAGAGAAGCCACACACAGTACGACCCCACCGCACTCCCCACCACAAGCTCTTATGCACATGTGTCTTTCTCTTTGCTTTGCTTTGCCTTGAACAGGTTTCCATGTTTGCCTCCTCCCTCAGACTGAGTGTGTTGACAGCAGGAACTCCAGGACCCTCTGGCCCAGCACAGGCCAGTACACAAGAAGACCCAAGTCTCGATGGAAGGAGGAATGAAGGAATGAGTGAATGAATGATACATGGAAACACCTCTACAAATTAGTCAGGAGCTTTTCTCCTCCAGACAATGAGAAGGTCTGGGAGCTCTCTGGCCAGAACTGGCTAATGAAATCACTATGTTAGGAGGATAGATCACAGCAGGGGGAACTGGGAAGCTGGAGGCCCCGAGACCCGCTGGAAGGCTATTTGGAAAGGTCGGCTTCCAAGCTGCCTGCAAGTGTAAAAAAATCTATGAGTGCATTACCAGGAGGGCCATCCAGCTTCGTTTATTTTTATCCCACCAAATACAAGGTCAGAGACAAGTAGAGCACTTTCAGCTGAAATTATTTTTTTTAATTGACATCACACTTTACGCAAATATTAATTCATTTATTCAGCAAACAGTTCTTGGGAACACTGGGCTAGCCTGAGAGCAAGGCATCGTTTCTTCAGTGTGCATGTTAATTATGGAGATGCCTGTGTTTCACTTTGGCTTTCAAATGATCAAACCTCTGGCTTCTCAGAGGCTCAGAGCGGTCTTACAAATACTAAGATTCCAAGGACCGACCACTATGGGTACCCTTCCTAACGTGGAAACAAATATTTTAAATCCAATTGAAATTGCCCAAAATCATTCTGGAAGGCAAACAGCCTGATGTCTCGGGGAGAGAGAGGGGACTTTCCAATCTTGAGTGTTGAATGTTTTTATGCAGCAATCTAGTCTCCGCACTGTCTTGTTGGTGATATACAGAAAGAGTTCCCTGCTACCGCAGAGGGCTCATGACAGCTGGAGGTTCCGCAGTTAGTGAAGGAGACTGGAGGGACCGGGCAGTGGAAGTAGGCAGGGCTGAACACCCGACTGCCCCAGAGTGCTAGCAAGTCAGGTAAGCTAGAGGGCTAGGTAGGTACTGCCTGGAGCATCTCAGGTGGGGCTTCTCTCACACCCCCCATGTTGACCCAAGAGAGGAGCAAATCCACCAAGCTTTCAAGAAAGGTGTTTGGGGTTTGTTTGCTTTTTTTTTTTCACCCTTTGGTTTTTGCCCTGGCTGTTGTAGGACTCATTTTGTAGACCAGGCTGGCCTCGAACTCACAGAGATCTGCCTGCCTCTTCCTCCCAAGTGCTGGGATTAAAGGGGTGCGCCACCACTGTCTGGCTAAGAGAGGTGTTTCAATCTTTAGGTCAAACCCTCTAATTTTTTTCAGGTCACTTTTAAATTGTTTTGGTAGTTGCTAAATAGACAACATTCAAAAGCTTTCAAATGTAAGTGGGGACCTGGAGATGGTTCAGTGGGTGAAGGCTCTTCCACGCAAGCTTAGTGACCTGAGTTCCATCCCTGGAACCTTAGTAAAGCTGGAAGGAGAGACCCACTCCAGGAGATTTTCCTCTGACCTTTACGTGAGTGCTGTGGCTCTTGTGTACACACACACACACACACACACACACACACACACACACACACACACACTCACTAACCACACTAACATTTTTCCAACTACAAACTGTGGTAGTGGGGGGGCTGGAGGGGGGAGAACAAGGGAATCCGTGGCTGATATGTAGAACTGAATTGTATTGCAAAATAAAAATAAAAAATTAAAAAAAAAAACTGTGGTCGTGGCTGACTGCAGAAGTGAAAAACAGTTCTCACACCCTGTGCTTAAACATGGTCATATGTCCCCGAGGCTACTTCCAGGGCGTCTGTAAGATGCACAAAACAAATATGCATTTATAGTGTCCAAGAGCATGGTTACACAAAAGGCAGCCTACTGTTCTCTGCCTCACAAGTAAGATAATGAATGATGCTAATAATCCCGAAGATCACTCCCCATCAGGCCACTGTGAAATTCCTCAGTCTTTCCCACAACTGCCTGCGGCTCCACTGTGGGAATGGCTCTCTATTGCATACCTCTCCGCCCAGTGGACATTGGGATCCTTCTCCAATCTTCAAAACGATAGGTGATACTTTTAATGTTAAAAACATGGTATGCAGATCAAAAGCTCTTTGGGATGGACACATGCCAAGGGCACATGCCAAGCTGAGGGGTATTTGGGACAATGCTTGGGTCTGTGAGCCCACAGCACAGGTGTCAGCCTCAGCTCCTGACCTGAAGTTACTTCAACTGAGAGCAGCTTCCAGCATGGACTACATTTGCTTTTGAGGAAGGAAGATCACTGGCAGCAGAGGCGACCAAGTTTTGGTAAGGAATTGTGCAGAGCCATGTGAAGAGTCACGCTACCCTGCTTGTGTACTTTCTACTAAGTCTGAAAATCCCCAAGGTCTGAGTTACAAGCTGGTCCCAACTCGTGGCAGACAGGGAACTGAGAAATGGCCCCACCCCGGAGGCCCCTCATTCTCTCATGTATACATTTATAGGGCACTTCCTGGGGCTGTGTCTTCTGCTGGAAATCTGTTTTCCCCAAAGAATCCCCAAACTTCTCATAATTTAAACCTCAGATCACATTCTGGGAAGACCGCCTCACCACCCTCCCCTCACTCCCCACTCGGTCTTTCCATATTCTCCCCTTGGTATTTTCTCCAGAGCCCCTGACATTATGAAAGCACACTGTGTGTTCACTCTGTGCTGACTTTCTCCCCTCACACACGCCCTAGCATGCAGGCATACCCAGTGAGGGCAGAGACTGTCCCCAGAGGCCCCACAGAGTGTGTAGGTACTAGTATCATCCCTTTCCAATGCACAGAGCAACATCCACAGCCCAGTGTCTTCCACTGGAAGCTGGTGGCCCAGCACTGGGTCCCAGCTCTCATACTGTATGACAGCTTCTATTGTCACTTTCCTGGCACATTTCAGCAGCCTGAACACAGACATTTCTCAGTGTCTTGCTTTCATTATTCATTATGACTCCACTCTGAGGGAAGAGGTATTTAGCTGCATCTGATGAGTCTCCAAAAGCCTCATAAAAAGTGGGTCAAAAGAGGTGTTCCCCACGGAAAGATGAACAATTGGCTGTTCAGAGCTGCCTGGCGGCCAGCCAGAGGGAGCTTGAGTGGGAAGCAGAGCACATCCGAGCAGGAAGCCTCCTTAGGAAAGCTCCCTGAGTCACTCAGCATGAGGAGGTGGCCCACCAGGGGCCTGGAACCGCCTCCCAACCCTGGAGACCACCCCAAGGGTCCGAGTCCCTCCGTTCACAGGCCCAAAGAAATGCAGGGTTTTTCAGTGTTTCTCAGATGGGGAGATGGCCCAGGTGGCAGTTGCTGGCTGCACAAGCATGCTGAGCTCATCTCCCCAATACCCATGTGTTTGAAAGGTAGGGCAGTATTCATCTGTAACCCCCATCCTGGAGAAGCAGAGACAGGCAGATTCCGAAGCTCACTGGCCAGCTAGGGCAGCTGAGCTGGTGAACTCCAGGTACAGTGAACAGTTCTGGTTCAAAAATAAGGTCAAGAAGGATCAAGAATGACAGCCAACATCGACCTCCGGCCTCCATGCTTATGCACACACACGTGTCAGAACACACAGGTGTGCACACCCACATGAGCACACACACACAGAGAATTACAAGGCACGCATATGAGAACACATCCATGCATGCACTCAGGCAGGCATTTTTTCTCCCAGCCCCTCAGCCAGATGTCCTGACAGCAAATGTCCTGAACCTCGTTCTGTGTGGACTTGTACAGGCAGAATAAGGACCCTTGGAGAGTCCCCAAGGGACTCCTACCCGCCTCCATAGGAAACTGGCACTGGGAGGGTCTTTGTGTTATACACCGAGGATGGAGGTAAAGGATTCATTTACATAAGAACCAAGACATACGTTCAGCACCACGCTTCTTAGCCCTATGCAAGGTCCACTCAAATGATCCTCACAAATGCCAGATGCCAATACAGACATCACCACCACCACCCAGTGGACTTGCCTAACATGCAGTCTTGCTGGGATCACCAGTATCACAAACCAGAAAATTAAAAATAAGACAAAACCCCAAACATCGAAGGCAGGCAACAGAAACGGCCATTCCCCCATTTCATAACTGAGGCTTAGAGAGGACGCCGAATCTGCCCCCAACATAAGAGCACTTAAGTGGCAAGTCCAACTTAACCCCACCCCTCTGACTCCCGGTCTGGTGCTCCTTCCTCTAGCCTCAGTTTCTGCTCAGATCAAGAGGGCAGGAGTGTGCTTTCTTAAGCGGCCATGTTTGGGGTCCTGATGCTCCAAACATTGGATGTAGCAGGCAGAGCTGGAGACTTGGGACCTGACAGCTGCTCTCTCTGCCTTTGTGAGTCTCATCCACTGTGTTATAGAATGGCCTCTGTGGATTGATGGGAGCAGTGGCCAGGATGTCTCAGATCCCCGGGCCCAGGCCACTACCAGAAAGAGCCTCCCACACTTGTGAGGCCAAAGGAGGCCTTTCTCAGTGTCATTCCAATCTGCTGATGCAAAGAAATGGTCCCCAGGAAAGAGACCACAGGGTCATATGTTGGCCCAACTCCTTTGTTCTCAAAGGCAAAAGGTCAGGTGGGCCCAGGTGGGGGCAAGACTGTCAGCTCTTTGACCAGTGGGGAGGCAGGCAGAAGCTAGGAGCCTGGCACCCTACCCGCCACCCCCTTTTGTAGGTAGGTAAACCCAGTAGCTGCCCCATCAGCAGGCCTGTGGCCCAAGGACACACCTGCAGATAATTAGTCCCAACCAGGTCGGGCCTAAACTGCTGACAGTGCCGGAACTGGCTGGTCATGTCACCAAATTTGCAGATGGTGAGTGGTTTCTGAAGCGTGGCCCCGGCTGGCAGAGCAGGGTTTAGCTTAATATTTAATGCAGCATATAAACGGTACAGAGAAACTGACTCCGTCTCTAATGAGACCTTCCTTGGGCTGCCTGACTTGTGGAAGCAAGGATGGGGTAGCTCAGGGACCCCCTCCCCCATTCTCTTTGTGGCCAGGAAAGAGGGACAGAGGTGGGCTGGAGGATCGAAGAGTTCTGGACTTCTGCAGCCCGCCACTACCACAGGCTGAGGTAACGGAGATTCGGGGCCCAAGAGCCCCGCAGTCTCTCCTTCAAGGCCTGGAATGTTTGTGGGGTTTTCTATGCTGAGGGGCATTTGCTGGCTGACGGACAGACAGACCTCATTTCTCTTTTGCCTTTACTATTGCCTCATCCCACCAAACATTCAAGTAGGTGAAAACCTGTTTACAGACACTTGAATTTGTTTCTATTAAGTGTGAGCCTGCTGTTTCCACAGTCTTCACACACCTCACATTCCCTAGGACCCCAGCTACTGTGTCTCACTTGGAGCTGTGCCAGGAGTTCCTCAGCCTGCTGGTAAACCATAATGCCAGGATGAGCCCATGTAAGTCCTCCATCCACACTCCTTCGTACATGTGTTCTGTGTACCAGGAGGCCCTAGCTCACCTCATTATGTCCTGCAGTACGGACTTTCAGAATGTGTACCTAGAAAATACATATCACTTAGTTCCTCTTTGACTTCATAGTTCAGGAACTGTTTTGATTTTATTTAAAAGTGGATATGAAAACAGATGTGGTGGTTTGGATGAGAACGGCCCCCACAGGCTCATATATTTGAATGCTTGGTCCACAGTTGGTGGAACTGTTTGGGAAGGATTAGGAGGTGTGACCTTGTTGGAAGAGGTGTGTCACTGGGGGTGGACTTGAGGTTTCAAAAGCTAGCATTATTCCCAGTGCCTCTTTCTCAGCCTCCTATTTGTGGATCAGAATGTAAGCTCTCAGCTACTGCCTCAGTGTCAAGCCTGCCTGCTGCTAGACTCCGCATGGTCATGAGCTTGAACCTTTTGGAACCATTAGCCCCATTGAATGCTTTCTTTTATAAGTTGCCTCAGTCATGGTGTCTTATCCCAGCACTAGAAAGGTAAACAAGACAATAGGCTATATTCTTTGTAAACTCAGATATCAAGAACATAAGGGCGGGGGGGGGGGGGGAGATTCTGCAAACATTTGCTAATCCAAAGAGAGTCTGGTGGGGATAAATGAAAACCTCACTCACTATGATAGGACAGGGATTCAATGCCCTGTAAGACAGAGAAAGGGGTGCAGAGGCCTCCTACTGAAACTTCATGCACAAGCATCTGCTACATACGATGTGTATACAAGTATGTGACTGTCCACTGTGTGAATTCAGTGGTTCCACTAATGGCAGTCAATTTCATGTTATGTTTTGCATTTTCATTTTTATACATGGGATCATACTTCATTCTTCTACAATTTGTTTTTGTAATCTAATGTATGTCCTAGACATTCAGGTTGGTATAGATAGCTCTCCTTTAAAAAAAAAAAAAAACATGTATTATCACTTGTATATGTGTGTGAGCCCACTTGTCTCTATGTGCACCACATTCATGCAGGTGCCTACAGAGGCCAGAAGAGAGCACTGGAGTTACAGGCAGGTGTGAGCCACATGATGGGTGCTGCGGATCAAACCTGAGTCCTCTGTAAGGGCAGCAAGTGCTCTTAACCACTGAGCCACCTCTCCAGCCTCTAGCTCAACATGTGTTGGGGGTGGGGGGAGGAGCGGGGTGTGGGCAAAACAGATCCCCTGAGCTGTAGTTTCAGTTTCAGGAGGTTGTGAGCTACCTGATATGGGTGCTGAGAACAGAACCTGGGTCTTCTGAAAGGAAGCCAAGCACTCTTAACCACTGAGCCCTCTCTCTCTCTCCAGCCCCTTGCCTTTCTTTTCATGGTAGCGTAATGTTGCATTGTGCGGAAGCACCATAATCTACTGAGCCCATTTCTATTGCAGGGCCTGCTTTGGTTCCACTTGTTTGCCTTTATAAATGACGGGCAAAACCATCATTGCAGGCCTGGAGGAAAGTTCCTTAAAGGGTATAAAAACTTCTGAGTCAGAGGGTACTTAAATGTATCTAAAACCTTGATGGACACTGTCAAGTTTTCCTCCAACAGGAATTACAATAGCAATATAGGAAAATATCTTTCCTGTGCCCTTTCCAACACCAAGCCTTAACACAGAGCTAATGGTATCAGTTCAAGCATCTCAGAGCTGTTTTAATTTGCAGCTTTGAGACAATGAGGCAGGCGCACATCTCCCCATACACTCTTGAGGCACCGCATTTTTGCCAACAAACTGCCCATTCACTGTCTAGTTTTTCTACAGATTATTTTTATTAATTTTGAAAATATTTCTCTTTACTATTTTTAAATATGCATATGCGTGAGTGTCTGTGTAGAGTATGTGGACACTGGTGAATTGCCTGCAGAGGTCAGAGGTGTCAGATCTGGAGATGGGGGTGAGCCACCTGTCACCGGTGCTGGGATTGGAACTCAGGCCCTCTGCAAGAGCAGAGTGTGCTCTCAACTGCCGAGGCATCTCTCCTGCCCCCTTCTTATTTTTTTTTTAAGCCCTTTATATAGAGGCTGGAGAGGGGGCTCAACAGTTCAGGGGACTTGTTGCTCTTGCAGAGGACCCAGATTTGGTTCTCAGAACCCACACCAGACAGCTCGTAATAACCTGTGACTTCAGTTCCAGGAGACCTGACACCCTCTTCTGGCCTCTTTGGGTATCTGCACACATATGGTGCACATACAGAGAAGGAGACACACACACACCCATATTAAAAACAGTGCCTAGCAATATTTTGTGTGTACACAAAAGCTCTTTACATATTAAATAGATTAATGTTTACCATCTGTATTGCATTCCCTACCCTAGCTTTCCTTTTTGTCTTTGGATGTTTTTTACATTAAAAAACTTACTTTTTAACATTTTTCAATCATTGATATTTGAAACATTTTTAAAGGCCTTTTCTACCCTAAAATTATAATTTTCCCTAGGTGTTTTTTTTGTCCGTTTATTATGGCTTTATTTTTTTAAAGATTTGGCTATCTGGGAATTTGTTATAAATGATACATAAATATACATGTTTATGGGGTACAGAGTGGTGTCTTGATATACATTACAATGTGTCATGACTAAACCTGGCTAATTAGCATATCTGTTACCTCACAACCCACTGGTTTCAGTGGAGACAGTGAAGCAGGGATCTGACTACAGTGTATTTGGACCTGTTTGTATCCTGCCCATTCTGGTCCATGTGTTTGAAAGCTCGGTTTCGACAATAGTTTTAGTTACTATAGAATTATTATACATTTTTGTTTTTACTTAAAATTTTATTACATTTATTGTTTTTGCTTGTTTGTTTGGTTGTGTGTGTGCGTGTGTGTGTATGTGCGTGTGGCTCCTTGTCATATGTTTTGGAATGTCCTAGAAGCTCTACTTCAGAACATCTCTAGCTATCCTGTAGTATTTATTTAGCCAACACTTAGCAGCATTTTGATGATTTTTCTCAAAGTCTGTTGCGTTTTCCTTGGGATTGCTCTAAGGTAAGAGGAGACTTGGGGAAAGAACGTCTTCCTGACAGTCTAGGAGCAAACATCTCTCCATTATTCTCCTGTATCATTGTGGCTCTAAAGCTAAATTTATTCTCTGGTATTGTGTGTATCGTCATTGAAGGGTTTGCTCTATTATGCTAATTATTATTTATGTATAAGAAAGTTAATGATTATACTGACAATTAGAATATGCCCTCCGTTTTGTATGTTCATTTTTGTGTTTTGAAACTGGGTCTTCCTATGCAGCCCAGGCTGGCCTCCAACTCCTGATCTTCCAGCTCAGCCTCCTGAGCGCTGGTCCCACAGGTGTGCACTCCCACGCCCTGCTCTAGAATGTCGCTGACATTTCAGAACTAAGCATACCCCTAACTCTGGTCAGGGATGTTTATACGGGGAGCTCCTGGAGCACCCAGCTGACTTTCTGCAGCTCTGTGGATCCAAGTATAATACACACTCCTTCTCATGCACGGCTTCTCACGTGAATGAGGTGGCCTTTGGCTAGAGACCATGGAGGCCTGTCTGAGGAGCTGCTGACACTGAGCCCCACCTGCCATGACCCACGGGACTACAGCCCAATGGGGCCAGCTCTTCTAATTTTTTGAGAAGACAGGAGGCTAGATTTTTTTTTTTTAAGTCTTGGCTCAAATTCTCTAAAAGTCCCATGAGGCCCAATTAGATTTATCTGAAGGCTAGATTAGCCTTAGCTAGCAAACATGCATCTCATTCCCACAGACAAGGATCTTAGACTCAGTGTTCACTGGACTATTAGCCACCTAGATAAGCATGTGCCCAAACTCATTTCCTAAATCCTGTCCAAAACTTTTCCTCTGCTGTGTGGTCTTCTAGGAGGCTAGGGTGACTATAACTCTGCTTTTTACTCCATACAGCAGGCATGTCTGAGCTTGGCTTCTGTCCCTGTATAATGGGAATACTGTCACTGAGGTCCCTGGTGAGGTCTGGCAGGGGTCTGCCGGAAACTGACTGGAGCTCACTGGCTGGCATCCCTTCCGTGTATCCCCTCTCTGAGGCTCACCTGGCTTCGGGCTGTTCCCCATCTTAGCCAAACTGAGGACAGGTCACTCTTGCTCTGTCAGACCCTCAGGTAGTACCCAGACCTGCACACGGTTACCTTTCCCCTGAGCCCCAGGGCTGACTTAACTGTTAGGTCCCAGAGACAGTCCTCTAGTCTTGTCACTGAGGGACCCCTGTGCCTCAGCTCTTGCCTCGTTCACCACTTCTCTTCAAATTCTAATACATGAGAATTTCTTGGCTCTGTTACTACTTTGAGGTTATGTCCATCAGCCAATGGAGACGTCTTGCCATCATCTCTGGCTGGATCCCTAATTCCAAACCCCAGTATAGCCCACCAGCCCCCACTGTCTGTCTGTTCCATGTTCTGGAGACCCTCCTGCCTCCTGGGTGAGACACCCTCCCAGAGCTGGTATAGTGGCTGTTCCAGGGCTCCACAGTGCTGGGCTGGAGAAGGGAACTCCCCACAGCAGCAAGCTACAGAGACCACATAAGGAGGTCTGAGGAATCACAGCAGACCACTTGCTGGGTGATTACTTTGTGCTAGCCAAGAGTCCAAGCTCCTCCTGTGGGGGAACCTAGTCATCCTCACAAGAGCCCCGCGCTATAGCCATTGTCCCTGTCCCCAGCATACAGATCAGAAAAGCACAGCTGGAATTCTGATACCACTCACCCAGGATGACATGGCTGACACACACAGCTGGAACCCTGCAGGGAGTGGAGGCCTGTGCGAGGACAGAACTCAGGCCCAGCACATGCCGGGCAGCACTCTATTGCTGAGCTGCACCACCAGCCTGAGGGCCCAGCTCTCAGTCTTCACACTGACGGTGATAGTGGAGGCTGCTGGGAAAGCCAGCTGCTTGGCGTATACCCAGTCCCTCCCAGCCCTTCTGTACCCAGCCTCTGCTTGGAAATCTGAAATGCCAGTGATAACTTACAAAGAGTCTCTCTACTCCTGGAGGTTGATGCCGACCAACAGATTTCCCCAGCTCATGAAAAGGAGAAATCCCAGTCCTTTGAGTGCCTGGCCTCACCACAGGGTCCCCTCTGACAGGGCAAGCCCTGCCTCTCCCAGCCTTTATTATGCTGTAGATATATCGGAGCAGCATGCAGTCATGTCACATCTCAGCCACAACCTGTGTTCCACAGCAGTCTGCCACCTGACCTGAGCTGGGACCTTATAACCTCGTTAAAGCCGGGGCCAGTCATATCCAAAAGCATCAAGAACAACTTCCCCCCTCACATTCATTCTCTCTCTCTCTCTCTCTCTCTCTCCCCACCAAATCCCCATTCAAGTATGCTCACCTGTGACAATGGGGTAGGACTGTGGGCCCGGCACACTGCTTCCGATGTCCGCAGGGGTGGGGCTTGTCAAGTTGGCTTTCATGTCATCCAGGCCTCCGGCCAGCGAGGCCATGGCTGAATACTCTGTGGTCTGAAAGAGGAAGCAGACATCTCAGCATGTAGCCCAGAGGCACCCTGATCAGATGCAAGGCCATGATCTGTCCATAGAGGTTCTGGGAAACCCAGGCTGAAAGGGCAGATGCAGCTCAACGGAGCAGCACATGTATCCAGAACCAACCACTGTTCCCGGGAGAAAAGATGGGCAGGAGTCCACACGGCATCCCCAGAAGTCAGATCTAACCAGCAGATTTCCCGGCTCAGCCCCACAGGCCAGGGAGGGGGCCAAAGTAAGCAAGGCAGAAAGAAGAGTCAACCTCCAAGGACAGGGGCCACATGGCTTCTGGTTTGGGGGCTCTCAGGCAACAGGGTGGGACCCCCGAAACAAGTGTTAAAAAGGAGTTGAAGGAATCACCTAATCCAGACCCATTTCACAGATAGACAAATTGGGGTTCAAGAGGAGGAGGGTTGTGTCCACATATGATCAGACAGAATCCCAATCCAGGGGCTAGCTGACCGAGGGTTCCCAGCCCTAATTCAGTACATAGAGCCAACTGAGTCACAGTTTGATGAGTGACTTTCGGATTCTGGAAGTAGATGAACACTTGTGTGCTGAGTATTCCAGGGACGGACGTCAGATTTATCAAACCCACGACAACCGAATGTGCTGGGCAGTGAGTCATGTCCGTTTCTTTAAGTCACTCATAAAATCCAAGCCTGTGGTGCGTCATGAAACCTTTGCAGAATGACCTCCAGGGGAAGGCAGAAAAGAAACCAACCTGGACTTTTCCATTCAAGGAAAGACTACATTATAGCCACAAACGGCATGTCTCTGCCTCCTTCCCAAACCCCTGCAAACACTTCAGCCAAAGAATTTGGTTGTGTGTACCAAGTTTTGGCTGGGGGCTTCTCTGGAGCCTGGCTTTGCCAACGGAGGTCACGGCCCCGTCTGTTCAAGATGATATACTTGGCAGGCAGGGACCATAGTAGGTGGGTGAGTAGGCTGAGAGCCTGTGATTGGGAGCTCCTCGTGCACTTGGGGAAATGATGGTTGCTATTTCTGAGGCGTCACTTGGCAGGACCAGTAGATGGAGCGGGACACATGTCACCTGCAGAATGGTCACCAGGAGAAGACTTTCCAGAGCAGGTGAGACGGGAAGATGACCAAGCCTGTTCCTGTCTTCACTGTCACAGGCCACCTTGTGTGAGCAGCCCTGTGCCCCTCCCCAAGGCCTCATTCTCTCTCCCATGAGGCCATGTTTGTACCTGTGGAGTTTGGGCAGGACCTGGAGCTGACCATATTAGGTGGCTGTGCCTTTTGCATTTAGGCCTCTAATCCACCTGGGATTGATTTTTGTGTCTGGTATAAAAATCTAATTTCTTCCTTCTCCCTACTTCTGAATGGATAACCAGTTGCCCCTTGCGGGTTATTAAGAGCCCATCTCTTCCTGCTGATTTGTACGTCTCCTTACCCATATATCAAGGTTCCATATGTGCACAGATGGCGTCCCAGCCTGGATCCTGTTTCGTTGGTCCATTTATCTACCCCTGTGCCAATAGCACACCATGTTATTACTGCACTTCTCTAATGGTCCCTGGGGCAGGTAGACCTGGCCCCCAGCCTGGCTTCTCCCTTGGAGTACCTGGGCCTGCTCTGGGCCTAGGGATTCTTCGTTACATGTTTTTGGAATCGGCCTCTTCTGGAAGATGATGGATAAGCCCCAGGGGTTCTGGCCGAGCTGTCCTCAATGGGCACCACCTCGGGACACCAGGGCCTGCAGTCCCTCGCAGCTCCACTGCTCAGGAAGTACTTTCCGACTTTCAGAGACCGCTGTGTCAAGGACTTCACCTGTGACTTCCATCTCAACCTCTGCCCACGAAGGGGCCTGTGTTATTCCACTTCTCAATGCAAGAGCTTGAGATGTCAATTCTAGAAGAAATTTGATGTGCTTAAAGCTACACAGCACCTAGGCACCAGGATTCAAACATGGGTCCATCTCACCCCAGCATCTTGACAGTTACCCTAATGATTATCCAACTGTGAGGCCCAAACCCGTAACAGTGATGAAATCAAACAGTTGGTTCCAACTATTTGAAGTTGAGTTTTTGTTTTGTTTTCTTTTAGTGGGTTCTTGTTGCTGCTATTTTGGGGTTGTTTTGAGACATGGTTTCACGTAGCCTAGGCTAGCCTAAACATACTGTGTAGCTGAAAATGACCTTGAACTTCTGATGCTTCTACATTCACTGCCCCAGGGCCAGGATAGCGAGCATGGATCAGAACACTCAATTTCCTGCCATGCTGGGGATTGAACTCAAGGCGTCATGCATGCCAGCCAGGCAGTCTACCGGCTGAGCTATTTCCCCAGCTCATTGGTAATGGAATTAGAAGGAATAGAACAGAGACCGAGGCTTCCACACCTAGAGAAGTTAAGCCCTATTTTGTAAATCATGGTTCACATATCAGTGGGTAGAGAGGAAAATACATTTCTTGCTGTGAGGTGGAAACAGTAGCATTTGAAGAGCATGTCTGCATCCCATGCAGCAGGGAGCTGTTGGGGGAAGGTCACTGTCTAGATTCCCTCCCTGTAGGACAGAATTGAGCATGCCCTAGCCTCTAGTCTGCTGAGAATGCATCTGAGATAAAAGCTCGCCAGAGGCAGCTACCCCCTTCAGCGCACTGCTATGCCTCTGGGAGGGTCTCTTTTGAGATCCATTTCCTGGATGCCTGGACATGGGTCCTAGTTCCTCTTCCTGTGTCTCCCTGGATGCCTGAGCACAGTGAGTGGACATTTATTTCACCCATGCTAGGCCCTGCTGTGTGCATGCGGGTCTGTGAGACAGAAGAAACCCTCCACGAGCTCCCAGAGAAAGATGCAGAGCCCTAGAAAGTCCATCCAAGGTGGAGGAAGGCACAGAGCCATTCATTCTCATGGGGTGTGGTGTGGTCAGGAAAGGTTTCTGGGGGGTGGGCTGAGCAAGCTCCATCCCTTGGGTTGGAGCAGCTGAGCAGAGCTGAGAGGTGAAGGGAAGGAGGGAGGCAGGCCAGGATGGGGTACAACTGAGGAAGTGGACGTGAAGGTAGACCGGCTGGAAGTGGACCACGTTGGACCTCTTCCATGGATACAAAGATCAACAATGAGGGCTCCTCCAGGCCCCTAGCATTCCAGCCAAGAGTCAGCACACCCCTCACACCCATCCCTGGCCGCAACAGCCTTCAGGACTTCATTTGCAGACCTGGCTGGCAGCTGGGCCTGTCGGGGAAAGCTTAGGTTTCTCCCTAGGAGACAGACAGAGCCGGGTGCAGAAAGTGTGGCTGATAGAGATTTCCTGCCTCCTCATGTATCTAAATTTCCAGGTGGAAACCAGTATTTGATTCTGTTCAGAGTCAGACAAAGTGCATGGAGTCACTCTAAACAGTTGGGTTTGCAAGACTAGGTATTTCCACCACGTGGGGAAGGCCCACTCTGCCAGTCCCTAAAGACCACTGGCTTCCAGGAGGCCAAGAGGAAGAACCTGACTAAGGAGCCCAGGCTTGTGGGCTATGGTTCTCACAAACAAACGAGGCTTCAGCAACTTGGTCGCCACCCAGCAGGGTTCCAGCCTCTGTTGTTGGGATCTGAGGATCCTTCCTCTGCTCCTCTAGGAGCAGGATGCTATCTTTTATGTGGGTGTTTGGTTTTCCCTCCAGTCTATCCTCGGAGCTGCCTGTGATGTTTTAAGGGCTACTGTGTTCTCTCTGATCTCCTGGGCTTCCACAAACATGGCTGAACGGGCTGTGCCTCTGACATTCCAGGCGGCCTGTCTCTACCATCTCACTATGTCCAGAGCTCCTGCATTGTCCATAAGACCCAGCTCAAACGTGGCCTCCTTAGCGAAGCTATCCCCGGCCCTGTAGCCACCAACAAAATCGTCACTCCTCCTGCACTTCCTCACTATGTGGCTTTTTGTATCTGACTCTGTCGTAGCACCTCCATATATAACAGCTATTTGTTTCTCTTTTTTCAGAACATAGGGCCTCCCTACAGCCTCCCCCCACCCCGAGTGTGTCTTGAAGGAATGAATAAATTAACGAATGAGTGGATTTTCCATCCACATGATATAAACTACAGATCTCAAGAATTTACTGGAGGCCAGGAATGGCAGCACATGCCTATCATCTTAGCAGCCATGAGGCAGAGGGACCCAGGCCAGCCTGGGCTACACAGTGAGATGTTATCTCAAAAAGCAGAAATTAACAAAGGAATTAACTAAAAAGTCTTTAAACAGTAGCTCCAAGTGATACAGTCACATGCCCTGCCTCCTCCCACCAGAACTCCTCATCAAGTCAGGTGACAAGAAAGTTAGGTCCCTGTCCAGTATTGGTTAAAGCCCCTGGAGAAGTCCATCTATTTAAGACAATAAAAAGAAAAGGGTCATACAAAGGTATTTTTTAACCTCTGGAGACACTGTCCATTAGAATATTCAAATTCCTTGCCCTTCCTTCTCATAATTCACTGGGGAAAAAAGGTTATTTCCCATGCTGAGTTGTTAATTTGCCTCTGATCAAACAACTAGAACATTAGAAACCATTGTCTATCCCCTCTTGCTTTGGCTGGCAGGAAGCGCAGTCAAATTCAGTGTTCAACTAGCACCCAGACATCACTGCTGGGCCTGGAAGAACAGCATCCCCTTTTCTCTAGGCTACACATGGACTCCTTAGCCTGACTTAGATAAGTTCAATCACTTCTCAGACCACTGCAAACAAGTCCTTTGTAAAAAATGGGACCTGGGAGAGAGAGACACATGGAAAAAGGAAGACAGACAGATGGAAAGATGAGCCGGAGGAGAGTGCTCCCGGTGCCCCTGTTCCTGGTAGCAATGCCTGTCCTCTTGCATTTCTCACTGTTGGGAAGCCAAGGGCTAGCCAATGGGGTGTGGAGGGCACATACAGTGTGTGTTGATGTACCCACACTCCTGGGCACATCACCCCATCCCAGCCAACCCTGCTCACAGACCCCAGCTGTGTTCCCCATTTCCCCTTCTCTGAGCCCTTCAGTGTTTGTCTGAAGCTGTCATGTCAGCTCCTGCTCCCTCTCCTGGGAGCCCCTGCTGCTGTCCTTGCCCATGACCCAGAAAGAGACAGTAACCGAGGCCAGCAGTTCACAGACTGCTCAGTCCCCCACACACAGCGGCCTCAACCCCCTACGCCTGCAGCCACAGACTCCCCTGAGTTCCCGGAGGCCGTGACCACCAGCTCAGACTGTGCCCCCTCCTTGACAGATAGTAGGCTCCAGTGTACGGTTGGCCTCGCCCGCTCGCTCGCTCGCTCACTCGCTTGTTCTTGAACAACAGAGTGACAAAGATGCCCAGAGCCACCTCATCTGAGGCGACAACTCTGAGGAGCAGAGAGGTGGGGGCACTTCACTGTTCTCTGTCATTTGAAGTCCCGGCCCGATGGTAGCCAGACATGGAGCTTGGAGTGACCACATGGGACTCTTGTCCCAGCTCAGTCTCTCCTAGGCCCGTTCCAGAGGGAAAGGCCATGCAAGTGAGACAGGGGGAAATGGTGTGTTCATTCTAAAGCCCTGCTGCCTGCCTGCAGGAAGCTCATGGGAACCTGATGGATGGGAGAAGGGAAGCAAGCTGGGGACAAGTACTGAGAGGCCGAGGAACCCTAGCCGCAGACTCGAGTCATTTGGGTCCCTAGGAAATTACCTGGAAAAGGACTGCCTGGGGCTGCACCAAGTATTGTCTCATCAGCACCGGGCACCACTGCCATAGCATGGAGGAGAGAAGAAACAGACACGTGAGAAGGGGGGCGGGGAGAAGGGGGGCGCAGCACAGGGAGGAGACTTGGGGAGTGTGACTCAGCCAGCCCCGCACAGGGGACTTCCATGCTGGGGAACTGTGGGCCTCAGATGGCCCTTGGGAGCCCAGTCAGAGCCAGGACACCCACTCCCAGCCTGCAGGACCAGACACTTGCTCATCTCCACCCCTACCCAGAGGAGGCTAGAGGCTAGAGTGGCAAAGGAGAGTCCTGGGGCCTGTCCGGAAGACTCAGACTGGGGAATTAAGGGTTCTTCCCCCAACAACACCTCGTGGTTTCTAGAGACTTCCATCTGGGGCCGTTCACGCTATGATCTCTAATTCTTTTCTAGTGCTGATAACTCTTTGCTGTTATCTCTGGGCCACAAGACAAAATGCCATCTCCATCTCCATGAAGTGAATTCCAAGGTGAGGAAAGAGAGGCAAGGGGGCCACCAAGCTAAAGGACTCTTGGAGATGTGTCCGTCAATTCAGTATGTACCCTGATCCAGGCAAACTGTAAAACACGTAACTGAAAAAACCGTGCATGGCTTGGCCCTGCCTCAACTTGATATACCAGGCTCTGCTGATTCCCCATGAGGCCTTACCCTCTGAGGAGTGGATGGGGGATGGGGTGGGGGGAGGTGGGTGGGGGAGCGGGAGGAAGGGAGGGAGGGGGAACTGTGGTTGATAGATAAAATGGAAAAAAAAATTAAAATAAAAAAAATCAAGCCATAAAATGGGAAACTTGTGCTTGATGACATCAAGGAATTTGCTCACTTTTCAGGTGTGATGAATGGGCTGGTTACACTCTGCTCAATGTCTTTAAAACAAATCTTTGAAAGATTTGCTTCAAACCTTGGTAGTGAAGTGAGACAGCGTCTGGCAGGAACCGAGCACCGCATTCCTGTCTCTGCATCCTGACTAGAGATGCTGGGTAGCCAGCCTCCTCATCCTTCTGCAACCATGCCTTAGCTGCCGGACAGACTGCATCCCTCGGAGCCCAGACAAAACAAACCCACCCCCTTAACTGGCTGTTCTCAACTCCCCCCCCCCATTAACTGGCTGTTTTCAGTCCCCCCATTAACTGGCTGTTTTCAGTCCTCCACACCACTAACTGGCTGTTTTCAGTCCTCCCCCCATTAACTGGCTGTTTTCAGTCCCCCCACTAGCTGGCTGTTTTCAGTCCTCCACACCATTAACTGGCTGTTTTCAGGCCCCCCCCATTAACTGGCTGTTTTCAGTCCTCCCCCCCATTAACTGGCTGTTTTCAGTCCCCCCACTAGCTGGCTGTTTTCAGGCCCCCCCCATTAACTGGCTGTTTTCAGGCGACCCCCCCCCCCCCCATTAACAGGTGTTTTCGGGTATCCAGCCCCAGCAAGGAGGAAATAAGTGATCCTGGAGCTCTCCCCAGCAGTCCCCAGCACCTGTGACATAATGAGAGCATCCAAGAGGCCAAGGACAGCCAGAAGTTTGTTCTCTGCCCCCCCCCCCCCCCCCCCGCTCCCCTGTGCCTGCCCTGCTCTTCCAGGCTGCCACACCTCTACCCCAGCCTCTGCCTTCGGGGACTGTTCTGGAGAAAGGAGACCTCACACCTTCCTCCGGCCTGGCATCTTCCCTGTCACATCCCCGCAGGTCCCTTATGTCCTTGGGACCCTGGGATGTGAGCAGATGAGAAACTCAGGAGGGAGCCCAGGTGTTCTCATGTCTGCAGGGTGCCTGTCCTTCACCCCAGGGGCCGAGGTGGAGTGGGAGAAGACTTCTCTCAGACAGTGCCATTGCCGAAGCCGCGGGCCAGCGCTAGGTCTCACCTAAGGCCATGCCACGCGAAAATGGCCACACACTTCCTGTTCTCGGCTCCTTTTCTTACCTGGAATTTGGAGATTTGTGACCAATTTCAGAAGGCCACAGAAGTATAGAAGGGAAGTAATATGAACTCAATACTGGAGGCCAGATCTTTTTCCATTCTCTGGTTGTTTTTTGTTTGTTTGTTTTGTTTTGTTTTGTTTTACTCCCCAGGACCAGGCATGTTTAAAAACAAACAGACAAGCGAGCAACAAGAAACTTGAAAAACACCTGCTAAACAGGACAGTAGCAAAAATGTTAGGGTGGAAAATACTTCAATAAAACGGGTTAGAAGTGGAGGTGCAGACACGGGATTGTTGACTCCATAAGGGCGGAGCTGCCGGCTACCATGCCCAGCTGTGAGGTCACTGTGGGAAACGGGGTGAGAGAGGCATGAGATCCCTCTACGTTACTCTATGTGTGTCTACGGCGATCTCAAAATAATAACCGCAATCCAACAAGCTTTAGCATTCTGTCTCTACTAACCAAATTTAAAAAAAAAAATCAAAATTGAAAAATAAACTTTTTGTTGAATGTAGACTATGAATGACGATAGTCATAGTATCCATCATCTGCAAAGTACGACTGTCACTGTCAACCAGAGGCAAGGGTTGTCAAGGATTCTGAAAGGCCTCCCTCTTCCTGGAAGTCCTCCCTGATTTCCCTCCTTTATGTTCCTAAAACAGCTCAGTGTGCAGATCTCTAGCGAGCCCACATCACCACTGCAGTCTTAACTACTCAGGGTCCCCATCCTCCAGCTAGAGGGCCAGCTTCAAAAGGAGGGACCGAGTCTCCCTTAGCTCTGTGGCAGCAGCTCCTGACCCAGCTCAAAACAGAGGTGACACAAACATCTGGAACCAAATGAACTGGGACAGGTGCATGGCCGAGCTCTGACAGCGATGTCAGGGGGGCTTCACAGTGTCAAGGGAAGGATAAGTGATGTCAGAGTTCTTTCAACTCGCCAGCAGAAGTACATGGTTGGGACAGGGCTGGCAAATCTTCTGTTTGTGGCCATATGTGGGTCAAAACGATTCCCGGCAGAGCAAAGGGTTTCCAAGGAGACACATGAAAAGTTGGATGATGTATCTTGCTTCTGTCTGTGTCTGCTCTCTGCAGCCCCAGAGCACCCCAAAAACCTTCCAGGTGGGATGGGAAAAGCAGGGACATTCCAGGGGGGGCAGTGGGGTCAGATGGCATGCCTTCTGTCCCAGGGAAAACTTTCAGCAAAGAGTACCAGAGAAACCCTTCTCTCTGGCCTTTGGTAGGCTTTAGGTGAGCCTCAAGGCTCGGGGCCCAAAGGTAAGATGCCAAAGGCTCAGAGCTCACAAATGTGTGTCTTGGTGACGAGGAACTCACTACTTCCTGAGGGGCAATTCTACTGCCCCATAGCCAGCCTTGGGAACAGTGCTCAGTCTGTCCCCAGAGGCCTTGGGTGAGCTTTCTCTACTCCAGTTCCATCAAATGTCCCCTGAGCATCCCAGGCTGGTGTCTTCCTGTCTGATTCCATACAGGGCTCCAGCGCCTCCACCGCCCCTCCTGCACCCCTTCTCTGGTTGGGGTGTAGAATGCTTGCTTCTGATTTCCAGGGCCTCCATTTCCTGGCTCCTCATGGTGCTCTCACAGGCAATGGGCATTCACTCCAACTTTATTAGAAGTGGGAAGTAATTGTGTATGTGACAAAAGAGTAAATAAGCATTCGCTTCCCTCTACCCCAACCAGTGTGGTATCGGCAAGTTCATATGTGTCCCCAGACACAAACAGGAAGGTTCTCCTGACAAGGACACCCTCGTTGTCCTGACAAAGCTCTGAGTCCTGGAGCATGTTGAGAACTGACACCCACATCTGGGGCCACCTGAAAGGTGAGGGTCTGCAGGGCTGAGGCCTGAGGATAGGAGAGGAAGCCTCGCTGGAGGCTTGGGCCTGCCCCAGCTCTGTTTGGCTGATCAATCAGTTCAGGTCCTCATGTGCAGAAGGAAGGAAAATTCCAGAAACAAAGCTCCATCTCCAGGCAGCCAAATTCTACGCTTTCCCCATCCTGCTCTAAAGCTAGAAATAGACAGGGAGGGTCATTCCTCTCAAGGAAATGGGGGGCTGTTATCTACCAAGAGGTCTGAGTGGGAGATGAAAAAGGGGGGCCCTTTTCATCATGTCAGGTACCTGACATGGGAGGAGAGGAGCCATCCCAAGATGCCCACAGTTCACTCTCTTTCAAACCTTCTAGCTGTGAGGAGGAGAGGGAGGTTTTCCTGGGACCGTGAAGAAATGATACCATTATAACACTTCCCTCAGACAGAGTAGCGGCAGGCTAAGGGCGGGGCGGGGCAGGGGCAGACCCTTCTTTGACCCCCTCCACTAGCAGAGCAGAGTAGAACCATGCCTATTCTCCCCACCCCCCCTCCGACCCCCTCCCTTAGGCCAAAGGGTCACTTCTCTGCCCCTTCTGTTCCCTGTCAGAAAGGACTTTCTAACAGGCAGTTCTCTGCAAAGGCCAGCACAGGGAGCCTTGAAGAGAATGCCCTCTTTGTCACCGAAGATTCCCTCGGCCAAACAGAAACTGCGATGGAACGTCCAGAAAAAGAAGACTAAGAAAGCCATAAACACAGATCCACGGCCTACAGTTTAGAGGACTCTGCTGGATCTCAAAGAAACCCTCATACACCTTAAAAACTGGAAAGAGCGTGCGTGTTCTGCATGCTTCCTACACACAGGGGACTGTTGCAGGTTAAAAGGTATTGATTCGCTTAATCCCCCGAACAACCCCGAAGGGTATTGCAAACCCCCTTACAGATGGTGAACGTAAGGTCCTGGTGCCAAGTCCCGTGAGTGTGTGAGAACCACCCCCTTCAGCAGTACGTCTCCAAAGTGCAAGAGGTGAACACCTCTTCGAACAATCCTCACTCACTGTCCTTAGCCCTGTCCCCTCGCAGGTGAGGACACTGAGGCTGAGGAACACACAGAGCAGGGGTAAAACGCATGTGCTGATTCTCTTGTGATGAAGCGCTGCAGCCCGGGGCAGGAGTACCATCGGCAAGGCCAGATTCGGCCACTTTTCACAGTCTACAGCATCTTCAACCTACTGCTAACGGAACCTCCCCCTCTGTGGCCACTCCCTTCTCTGCCCA